GCAGCTGTTACAAACTGATCCTCAAACAAAGATATTTTTAAAATTTGCAGCTTTGTAAAGACAAACCATGCCTTCCAAACTCCAAGATTATGACATCCTCAGTGAAATAGGATCTGGCTCATATGGAACTTGCAAGAAAGTCCGACGTAGAACCGATAACAAGGTACACTACAGTAATACACAAAACTCCCTCGATCCTACTGCATCTGACACTGCGCCTAATACATTTTGCAGCATAACTTTCATTGTACGCTTGAGCTTGTGGAACTAAAAGAAGTAACCGTAGAAAACCTTAGTGGCAATTTGTCTTCCGTCCTGGAACCTTGAAACAAAGTTGAAGTCCATGGTAAAATTTTTCCATGAGCAAATTCACCAGTAAAGTTTGTCGTAAACACTGCATTCACACCAGTTGTTGATGTTGACCTTCAATATTGTGGTTCTCTCTGATATTTCTGAGACAGAAGCTTAATTTTCCTACCTGCCTATGTAGCTCATTGTAACTCAGGTGCATAGGCCAAGTAGGCTGGTTGGTTCAAGACCAACTTACCGTCTATTCAACAAAAGTTGAACAGATATCCAGTGCATAGATAAAGTTGAAAGCAAAGAAAGAGAATTACATGGCTGTTTTACATAAAGGTGATATTACACGAGATGATTTGCAACAACAAATTTCAGCGCAATGTCGCGACAATGCTTGGATGCTGCATTGCACTAAAAATCGTTGTTGCAAATCGTCCCGCCGAGTAACGTCATTTCTATGCATTCAATATTTAGGGTGCGACTACTGTAACCGGGGCCACGTAGACAAAGTTGACCAATCAGATTCAGGAAAATAACAATACATCCTAACAAGTTGTTTGTATGCCAATCAGCACAAAATTTAAATATGGATAGCAAACATTTTTCAGGGAAACAATATGTTTTATCCGACAATCTTTTTCTATTTGAAACTTTACATACAACGCCCAGGGGACATGTGTTTGACACAAGCTGTTATTTTGCCATCTACCAGCAATTTCTTCACTACCATTGCTGTACCTTGCAATAAATTTGTGACCTCAAGTTAAAAATATGACTAACATTTACATTTTTCATCTCCGTCAACACTCTAACAGACCTTGCAGGAAACATAGGCTTTCTCCAGTGCATTTTTAAGGTCACATCTGTAGGTTGTAATTGGTTGATTTTAATCTATGTTGTTGATTTCATTCGGAGGCAAGGATTTAGCCAGAAGGGTGTCCAGCAGTCCCATGGACGCCCATTTTTGGAAGAAATACAAGGAATTTATTCACTTGATTTCTTTCAATTTTATGGGAAAACATGCTTTCTGTATGGCCAGTTTTCAATGCCTGGCTGAAAGCCTGTTACAAGGTAATAATGATTGACAACCAACTTTTTGGGAATGTATTGTTATTTTCCTGTCATTCAATAAAATATTAGTTAACTTTGTCCAGGTGACCCTGGTTATAGTAGTCACACTGTAACTTGTTCAGCAAAAATTGTTGAACAAATCTTTTGAATTGCTTTCACAGAATTCAACTTCCTAACATTTTCCCAGAAATTATTGAGAGAATGTTGGGGAATTCAGCCTTTTTGCTAATAAGGTGTTTGCCTAATAAACTGCACTTATTTCCAACAGCCTGGCTGTTAGGTTAAGTTGCAATGAGAAGTGTGACCATGAAACTGCAACATAGGGCAGACAAAAATAATGGTAAAAAATGACCAAAAGGTGGATTGAAACTATTATGACAGGAAAGAAGTAAATCGCAGATAGTTCGCGTTATTAAATAAACAAACCACACTTTGTTCAACTGTATACTGCAGATTCTAGTCTGGAAAGAACTTGACTATGGCAAAATGACAGAAGTAGAAAAACAGATGCTTGTCTCTGAAGTGAATCTCCTAAGAGAATTAAAGCATCCACACATTGTACGGTATTATGA